GCAAGTCTTAAAGCTGTCAAGTTACAAGACCCTTGCACCCCTAAACCTTTAGGAAAAAAAAAACCCAGGGGTGTTCAAACCTGACAGCTTTAAGACTTGGGGACTTTCAACTTCCAGAATTCCTCCTCCAGTCATGTTGGCTCAGGAACTCTGGCCTTGAAGTGTGCAAGTGTTAAAACTGTCAAGTTACAAGACCCTTGCACCCCTAACCCTTTAGGAAAAAAACCCCAGGGGTGTTCAGACTTGATAGCTTTAAGACTTTAAGGTTTAGATAGGACTCTTAAAGGTGTGCGGGGCGATTGGTGAGCCAGCTGATCAGTAAGCGGCGGGCGGTGCAAGCGTGGTGCAGACGGGCAGGGGGAGGGAGCTGGAACCGGTTCTAAATGGCACGGTAGATTTGTGGAACTGGCAGGAACCCACCCCTGGTCTGATGAGAGGGTGCCCCTTCTTCACCTGCCCCCCTCCAGAGGGGTTCTGATCCAAAAAGGATCTTGAAATTAGTTTGTCGGACAGGGATCATGTGAGGCTCTTCAGAGCTCACATCCCCCATGTCTGTTCAGCTGGAGAACTTCCTGCTTCTCCAGGAAGAAACTATTTTTGATCCCACTCTTCTGAGAGGTCAGGGTGGGTAAAATAGAAGAAAGACCTTTGAAATAGCCTCTCTGTGGATATTAGGCTGAGCCATTATTGTTGACCTTTAGGGAGATGTTGAAAAAAAGAATTTTTTCTAATCTAAAAACTATGCCATCTTTTCCTTTTTTTTCATTTGTTGCTGTTGCTTTTATTTTTTTGTTTTATGCTATCTTTGAGAGATATGATGGATGTTTTGATTGTTATATTATGTACTATAGAAACAACTGATAGCCATTATATTGCACTTGGAATGTAAGTCAAACAAACAGAAAAACAATATCTTGGGACTGTAAGTTACTCTCCCCTGGAAGAGGGTTTTGACTGAGTTCTTATATATGTGTTTATGAAAAGCAGAACCTTTACCTGCCGATTACTGATAGTGAGTTTCTCCAGGAAATGTCGAAGAACTGTGGACGGATCTTCAATGAGACAGTTCCATAAGACTTGTTGAGCCACTGCACTCACTATATGAGACAAAAGGAGGAAACTTGTCTAGACCTGACTGGATAAATCAGGGCCTTCAATTGTAACCGTTAGTGAAACTTTCAATCTTCATAGCACAGAAATCTGTCCTTGACAAACCCTCTACCATATATATTGTTGGTCTAAGTTTGACACAACATTGTTTGGTAATGTGAGGTGTTGTGGCCCAGCAGGAGCCGTTGGAGCTGCCACCAGACTCCGACAGCGAGGGGCCCTATGAGTTGGCTTTGGATGATGTGGAGGACCCTGGACAGAGTTCCGACTCTGAGCAGGGCGCAGAGAAGCTGGTT